AAAATAATCAATGAATCAAAAAACAAGGTGTTTTTATTTTTAAAAAGGGCGTAAAACAGGGTCGCCTATAGACGTCGTAGTGAGGTAGTAAAATGGATTATTAATTTTGTTGACAATCCTTCTATTTAGCGAAAGCACAAACGACTTAACCAGCGCTGAAACTTTTTTTATGCTTCTCACACCTTATGTACAGATAACCTCTTTTCAGCACGGGCGGTAACTCTTATAATGAACTGCGATGGGTATCGGCCCCTTGGTTTAATCTTGATATTTTTTTCTTCTCGATTTAATTGAGACCACCCACCGCCTGTGTCAACTTTTTGATACACAAAGTGGATAAAATAAAAAGGGGGGAGAGATTTTTATCATAGATGGAATATACGTTCGGTAACCAGCACGAACAAAGGGAGAGTATTTGCTTGCGGAATTGGAGTATTGACACACGCTACGTCATTTGTTCAGCGCCGTGTACGATAGTTACCGAAAAGCGCCGCAACAATGGCGAGAAACATGGGGGTCTAAATGGACTCCATGGAGGTGTGAATAAAAGCAGACGGCTAGTGGTAGAATGGGATTTGCTCGTACCGCGTCAGGAGGCTGCGGTGCCTAGATACAATGTTCAGGTTTTACTACGGCTAGTCCTGTCTACTTGCACACACTCGCGAGGGGTAAAATGGCCGTGTTTGGATTTTGAATTTGTGTTTTGTTCCGTTTCTCTTGTTTTTTTTTGTTACATTTTTCGTTTCAGGGCTTTGTGGTGGTAAAATTTGAGGAATTATGTGGGGATAACAATGCAGTAAATAAATATAGATACAAGTGTAAGACTATTCTAATTAACTAATTTTACTGAGTGTATATACATAAAAAAGATAATTAAAAAAAATAAAGAAAAAAAAATATAAAAAATTAAAATGCTTGTAAAATGACGGGAAATATTGTCATAAAGACTTACTGTCAACAGCTGTGGATAGGTTTCGATTTTGAAAGTTAAAAATTCATTTCAATAACCAGCCAGTGCATAAGGCAGATGAGGGTTCGCCTATTTCTGAGACTTCGGCAATATGCTCAGCCGCCTTTAATTCCCCTACCGTGAGTCAGGTACCCATCAGAGCTGAGTAGACTCAGGGACCTCTTTAAGAATCGAACCCGGGATTCCAACTCGAGACTTTCGGGTTAGCAGTCGTGCGCTCTACCATCCCACCACGCATTTAATTAAACAAAAATTAAAGTGATTTTTAAAATAAATTAATGATAAAATAATTAAATCCCCACATTAATTCCATCGCTAAAAAACTACTTCAAACTTTCATAAACGTTGTTTTCCCCTTAATATTGGTACCACTTTGTTTACATTTATTTTTCAAAGTCGACTTCAGGCACGTCCGCGGGTTTAAACTGTATGGAAGACAAACAACAAGACTGAACCACACTATTAAAATACATTGCACAGACAGGGAATGTGAGTTCACTGTAAAAGATTGTTTATATTTATCCCTCGTTCAACAACGGAACTGGGTACAATGGAGCAAGGGACCTGAGTCTGGACATTCGTTTTCAATTAACCCTACTTTGCCTGTAATGTTCGATTAACCCTACTTTGCCTGTAGTGTTCGATTAACCCTTCTTTGCCGGTAGTGTTCATTTAACCCAAGCTGTGTCGTGATTTGCAAACCGGCCTAATGACTTTCTGATGCTGGGGTCGGGTTACGTTGGTTGTTCGATGCTGATGTGCGTGCCGTTTTAACGAATTCGTCATTGGTGTATGTTGTTCTACTATTTTTTTAATCAATTTACAAACAAAAATAATTATTTTTTTCCGTTTTTAAGCTGGTATGATTTTTTTGGTTTGTTTTCAATTAAAAAAAAATATAAACTATGATTTGTTTTAAAGATTATTGCGTAACATTTTTCCTGACCTGTCCAATATGCCATGACCAGTATCAGATTTACAATGACACCACTGTTATTTCTATCATATAACCGCCCGCTCGTCCATATTCATTTATTGCGACCGCCCTTCAGATCCGATCCAAGCAAAAAAAAAATTGAATATCCTAATAAAACCTTCACCCGCGCCCCCTCTTTTAGGAACGTCTTAAATTTTTGCATGATTGGCAAAAAAATGGCAACTAGCCTTAAACTACTCATACATAGGGAGCTACCAGCCTAAACATAAGGGCCCATGGGTCATAGTACAGACCACGACACATATACCCACGGAGTGGTCAAACTCTACTTCATCTGCCTTATAAAACCACGAATGTAGCGACCCTCCTATTCGTATTACAAAAAGTAAGTAGTCCACTTGTCCATCGATTGGTTTTTATTTTCGTTTCATCTTAAAATTAGAGTAACATTTTTTTACATAGATCTATTTCAAGTCATCAAAGCTATTGAGCATCGCATCGCGTATCTTTCTCTTAAGTTCAAGTTCACTGCCATTTCCGATAGACTCTTTTTACTATTAAGAATGCTCTCCGCCCCATTGCCATTACCCAGATACCTTCAATGAATATCGTTAGCAATTTTAACGTGGTAAATTTTTTTTTTACAAGTTTTGCAATTAGTGGGCGGGGTCTCCATCCGTACACTATAATCAACTCGTCTTTTCACGATAAAAGGATAAAAAAAAAATAAAGAAAAGGAACGGATGGAGGGGGGAGGGGGAGGATTCTGTAAATAAAGTGTCATAGATGTGCTGCACTCGTTGCACCCTACGAGTGCACCAAGTGTCACGGTGTTGTAGTGACGTGGGGGGGGGGGGGTGACATTACCACACACACACACGTGCCGCCCCGTAAGGGGTTTCATGCTCTACGACCCAGAAGGTATCGCTATAACGTCGTTACAACCTAGGAACCCCTCCCCCTTTCTCACGGAATTGAAAGTTCAAAAAAATTATCAAAAGAACGGCGGATTAGTGTATACATGACGTATCATTCCCCCACTTGTTTCCAGTTTTTTTTTGTGTGTGTCTTTCCTATTCGAATCCTTCCATTTTGGTAACAGAATAGTTCAAGTGACGGGGAGAAAGATTCTCTCGTACGTCCGCTTTCTTCAAGACTAATCGCACTGGAGTTCAGCGAGTGCTAGCAGGGTTGTGTTGATTCTCCGTGGTTAAAAAAAAAATAAAGGAAAGAAGAAATTTTTTTCCCCGTGAAAACGTTTTAAGATAATCCGATTTCCCGCGCTCTTGTCGCGCTTTTCCCGCGGTTCTCCTGAGAGAAACGTGCGAAAGGCACTTTAAATCTTTGTAAACATCTTTTTTTTTTATTTTTACAAATGTCAACGGCGAATTTTAAGTAAGATGATTTTACCAAAATAAATAAATAAAAACAAATTGGCCAATACCAAAGCTAAAAATAAAGACTAATTTACCAACAACAAATTGGAAAATGAAAACTAACAGACGAATGTCAACAAATTTTAAATAAAAATAAATTTAAAAATTTAAAAAGTTTAACAACAATACAAACGTTAGAAATCAAACCAACATCAATAGTTAGTTTTAAAATGATGTTTATTTTTTTTTAAATGTCTTGTGATGGCTGTCTAGATTTTGTCGAGATAGACTTTAGGATCCTGCTGTGTTCTGTGCCTGCTGGGGGAGGTAGGGACGTTTACATCATCCTAACGTGTGGTTGTGGTGAGAATTGAGGGTATGAGTTCTCCGTACGTAGCTTCTGAGAAATATCTAGACAAAATAAATGCATGTTTTTATTTTATTTTACAAAGACTTATCTAAACAGGGATGGGACGGCTTGGTCTAGAGGTGGAGCGCTTGACTGTTAACCCGAAAGTCTCGAGTTCGAATCTGGGTTCAAGTCAGTGGAAAGTTCCTGAGCATTTAGTGCTGATGGGTACCCAACTCACGTTAGTGAAAGTAAAGGCAGCTGGGCATAGTGCTGACCACATTATCCCTTCATTTGCCGAGGTCAAGAAACATGTGAACTCTACTTCATCTGCTAAATAGATCACTAGGCCTTAAAGAAGAATCTTGACTTTTTATCAAGACAAGGATTGGGTTTAGCTGTCATTCTTTAGGTAAATGAAATAGATTTAGTTGACCCCCGAAGAAGTCTAAAAATAGAAGAGTCCTTAGTGTGTTTCGTATTTAAAAAAAATTATTTTCTACTTGCTTAACTTAGAAATAAATGTACGATGAATGGCCATAAACAGTAATCAAAACAGTTAATATGAGGATAATAAAAGATAAAAATTGAAACAAAGATTTTAGGTTAAATTGTATTTTAGTTTGCATAGACCAAAATAAGAATCTTTCTAAGTTGAGTTAAATTTTGTATTGACAAAAACTTATTTCCTAAATTTAGAAGCAGTGATTCGCTGAAGGGCTGTGACTATCCTATTAAACACTTATTATTAACGTTGTATAATGTAATCGACACTGGACAGGCGTTGGACATCGATAGTCATGTGCTTGGTCCCTAGACGTTGCAACTCTCGTCATTGAAAATTTAGCGTATGCGTTAGTGCGTGTTTGTGTGTGTGTATGTGTGTGTGTGTGTTTGTTTTAAAACTTCAACACTAAATTGCTTTTTAAAACGCACATCCTAATTTCCATTCGTTGCAATGTTTTTTCGTGAATTCGCGTTGACAAGCAGATTTTTAAAAAAATTGCATTACACGTATTTGTGATATATTTAACGTTAAAAAATAAATTTCCATTTTTGCACAACATGGGGACGATGTAGAGATCGTGTATCTTGATCTCGGCGTATGAAATGATGGTGTGATCAGTACTATCCACAACCACCCTTTACATCAAAGTTGGGTGGCGGGGGGAGGGGACGACTAAAACACGTATTGCAGACTCCCGTCCAGATCGAGATCCGAACTCTAGACTTTCAGGTTAGCAGTCGACCGCTCTACTACCCGACCACAAAGTCACTATATTTTACAATATCAAAGTAAAACAGTTAAAAAAAATACCTATGTGTTGTTTGAGAAAAAAAGTGCATACACACATGTAGTAATGTACACGGCCAGGCGCTTTGAATACAGCAGTTTGATGCGCGTCTCTGGCAAGATATGTTAGGGTGTCATGTAGATTGTGGTTAATAGGGTTATGGGATGTTTTTTGTCGTCCTGAACCTCATCTCTTGATGTTCATACTGAAAATATAAAAAGTATTCTCTAATAGACAACCACATTATATATATATGTATATATATATATATATATATATATATATATATATATATATATATATATATATATATATATATATATATATATATATATATATACAGTGGCGTAGCGAGGTCGGGTGTCACCCGGTGCGGCACTTAATGGTGTCACCCCCCCAGAGGCATAGAGACCCTTCCCAGGGACAAACTTTCAAATTTTCGATTTGCACCCCCCCTCAAACTTTCGATTTGCACCCCCCTCCCTCGAGTTTTCGATTTGCACCCCCCCCCCCCCCTCAAACTTTCGATTTGCACCCCCCCCTCGAGTTTTTCTCTATATATTTTGCTATTTTTTGCCTTGGTGTCACCCCCCTAAATGGTGTCACCCGGTGCGGTCCGCACCCCCCGCCCCACCTCGCTACGCCCCTGTATATATATATATATATATATATATATATATATATATATATACATATATATATATATATATATATATGGTTCCATGACAAATGATCTCAGGACAAATGATCTCAGACAAAATATCTCAGACAAAATATCTCAGACAAAATATCTCACGGACAAATGATATCAGGATATATATATATATATATATATATATATATATATATATATATATATATATATATATATATATATATATATATATGTGTGTGTGTGTGTGTGTGTGTTTATATATATATGTTTATATATATATATATATATATGTTTATATATATATATATATATATATATATATATATATATATATATATATATATATATATATATATATATATATATATATATATATATTCATTAGAATATTGATGCATTTGTTAGTTGGAGAGAAATAATAAAAGAAATTAGCTTCAATGTAAAACAATTTATTTTGCACAATTCTGTAAGAAAATATTGATATTAATTTAGTTTGGTGTAAAAATATGTCGGCGACTACCTTATTCGTAATTTAGAAAATTTACGAATAAAATAGTTTAAATTTATATCTAAATTGCTTTAATATAGACTCAAAGATTTTAATGTTTATAATGTAGTTTTACACCTTTTCTACTTAAAATTATTGCTTAAAGGTTGATTGAATCATTTTAAGTATCACATCTAGATACATAATCTTTATAGCGTCTAATTAAATAATTTTCAACAAAACGAATTTTTATAAATGTCTCTTTACTAAGTAAAAAAATTATTATTAACCCATGCTCAAAACCATTATGCCCTGAATCACCCTGTTCTTAACCTATTTGCCCTTAACCATCACGCCCTCAACTTTTATGCCATCAATCGTAATGCCCACCACCTTTAAGTCCTCAACCATTATGCCCTTAACCATCATGCCCGTGACCTATATGCCCTCCGCCTATATGTCCTAAATCGTATGTCCTTAATCATAATGTCTTTCATCATTTTGCCCGTAACCCTCATGCCCTGAATCATCAGGCCCTCAACCGTTATGCCCTTAACTATCATCCCCTTAATCGTTATATCCTTCACTACCATGCCCTCAACCTATATGCCCTCAACTAGTATGCTCTCACCCATCATAATTACCCCAGCAATCAGCGTCCCGGGTGTGGTCTCTAGCACTTACATACCCCCGGGATCATTACCCCCCCCCCCCCTCGCCCCACAAATGCCATCCGATTACCTACCGTATTCAAGCACTACGATGTAACCTACCGTTCGGATGTACAAATCCGACCCACGGCAAACCCCCCGTATACGGAGGACATTTCTCTTGTTTGACAGATATTTGGTGAAAACGTTCATTTGTTTGCCGTCAAACAAATTTGGTGGAGTAGAACGCAGGTGTTCTTCGTGGCGGGGTTAATGAGAAAATTTTTACCTGGGTATTTGCAGGGGGCATCTAGTTCCGGCAGCTTCTTTGTGCTCATTGGGTGGATGATATCGTGTGCGGGAGGTGTGTGGGAGGTCTGGTTCGATCGTCTTCAAGATGTGTGGGGTCGTGTGGGAGGCCATGTTTTGCGTCTAATTGGAGCCGCCACTAAAATCTGTGTTGGTCGTTTGAGGCTGTTGATAGGAGTTATCTACTCCTTGACTTGACTTAGTCCTCTTTGCTCCTTATGGAACATAGGGCCTCCACCATTTCCTTTCATTTCTTCCGATCCCCGGCTATTAATTTTGTCATCTCCCAAGACATCCCTGTTATCTACTCCAATGGTGTCACAAATGTCTTGAAATGCGACTGAGAAGTACTGTGGAATAGTAGTTTATAGATTTTTATCTTGAATTGACAATTTTATAAAATGAATGCACATATATTACATTTCAAAATAATTTTGAACACTTTCAAATACAATGAAATGCCGAAATTATATCAATATTAATGGAACGCTATAATTATATATATATATATATATATATATATATATATATATATATATATATATATATATATATATATATATATATATATATAATGATATTTAGGTTAGATACAATAATTAAATTGGTAATCCCATCCTTAAAATCAACAATCCTGAAGCGTTTCAAAATAAATTAACTCGGCTTCTAATGTTTTAGATTTTTCTAAAAAAAATTTGAAAATATTTTCATAAAGTATACCTCACGCTCTTTATTTGTTATTTTGTTATCCAACTAAGATAACACAGTCAAGGGCGCATGTTTCCAACAAGAGAAACTTCACATTTAAAAATAATGTGTATTTAATTTTTTTTTAAATAAATCGTATTAAGAATAAATTAATTCTATACGTAATTTAAAAAAAAAAAACATAATCGACAGTTATAAGAATAACTTAACCACTCGCCCACCTTATGGGACTCGAACACAATGTGACCTTTAACCTTCTAAGATTTTCTTGTTCGCGTCAGTCTTAGCTATTTTACTCATTTATTTAATTAATGAGCATACGGACGACAGCTTTATAATAGACAAATAGGCCGTCGTGGAGTGGGATTGCAAGTTTTAGAGTTAGATTCTTGGCTCTAGTCTTTGTGAAGAGTCAGCTCCCACTCAAATCGCATGGGTACCAGCTATTTTAGTCAGAGAAAGTAATGGCGGCTGGGCATAATGCTGATCAAACTACAGCTGGGCATAGTGCTGACCACACAAGAGCTGGGCATAGTGCTGACCACACAAGAGCTGGGCATAGTGCTGACCAAACTATGGCTGGGCATAGTGCTGACCAAACTATAACTGGGCATAGTGCTGACCAAACTATGGCTGGGCATAGTGCTGACCAAACTATGGCTGGGCATAGTGCTGACCAAACTATGGCTGGGCATAGTGCTGACCAAACTATGGCTGGGCATAGTGCTGACTACACTATCTGCTCATACGACAATGCCACAGCTAAATATGACCACTACTTCATCTGCCATATTGACCGTCATATCTGAAAGTGTACTTTCCACTTTTATAAATAACATTTTATTAAAAATTTAAAATAATTTTACGATAGAATAAAAAACAACTATATTTTCAACCTAGATGTACTAGATTCTAAATGAGTCACTTTGTTTACAATTTTAGAAGATCTGAATTAAGAACCATGTTGATATCATCCCTAGAATTGTAAGACCATCTCCTAAGTAGGACGACAATAAAGTCGGGTGCCTCAATAACAAGACGCAAACCTCGTTTAGATCCGGAATTTTAAAAAAAAAATTGAAACCTATCCATACCTACGAATTCTATTTTAAGGATCTAAAATTAGATTTAAAAACAAACACGTCGAGTATTTGAGATGCGCTTTTGAATATTTTCGTTCTAACGTCACTGAGGTTTTCGTCCTTCGATGCTTCAAATTTCATTTCAACTTCCTTTTCTTTTGTTTGCGTGTAAGATCTCTGAAGAGTTATACATCAAGGGGCATTTAACTACGGATGCGTCAGTAGCTTCCCCTTGTGTCTATAGACTTATCTATATTTTTAGACAAGCAAGAAGGATAATACTCCAAAGTCCCCGGGATAACTATTCAAAGTGAAACGGCATCTTGGTGTAAGGCGCCTTTTTTCTTTCTTCTTTCTGGTTTTGAGATTGTAGTTACGCCTTAGTCTCGGAGTATGAAAGGAAAAGTTAAGCAAGGAAGAGGAACTCAAAGTGATTTTTTTTTTCTTTTATTTAGCGGGAACTTGCTGGATTAAGGGATGTGACGTCACTAACATTTATTCGACTGAAGTTTCGATTGATGGAATGCGGTAAAAAGAAGAGGGGGTGGGGGGGATGGAGGGGGGGGGGGGAGTTAGGATGACGGGCGATGGGTTAGGTGAATACGGTCGTTGGGGTAGTGTTAATGTTTAAGTTTATTAGAACTAGTACGAACATTTTCATCGATTGGAGTTATACGTACATTGCGACTATGTTAGTTTGGACATTGTCAATTAAAAATAAAGCTCCCTTTACGAACATGACGGTGCATGGGGCAAGTGAAGTAGAGTTCACCTGTTTCTGTGACCTCGACATATGAAGGGATAGTGTGGTCAGGACTATGCTCTGCCGCTTTTACTTTCCCCAACGTAAGTTAGACTTGGGTGGAGTCAGGGACGTTCTAGCGACTTAAACCCGGATTCGAACTCGAGACTTTCGACCCAAATCTGATTGAAAAGTTTTGACCCAAATCTGACTGAAAATTTTGGACCCAAATCTGACTGAAAAGTTTGGACCCAAATCTGACTGAAAAGTTTGGACCCAAATCTGACTGAAAAGTTTGGACCCAAATCTGACTGAAAAGTTTGGTTCAGAATCTGCCAGAACATTTTGGACTCAAATTTGACAAAAAAAAGTCCTGGACACAGAGCTGTCATAAATTTAGAACACAAAATTGTCAGAAAATTCTGCAAATTATTGAAAATTTCTAGTCTCAAATCCATCTGCAAATGTCATACTTGCATGCAACTATCTGTAAATTCAAGCTAATAATTTAGATATTTCTATCAAGAGATATATATTTTTATGTAAAGATAGTCAGGGTATATCTATCCATAAGCTATACTTTTATTAATATAGTTAAATTAACTGCATACAAAATTGTTATAACCCCCATTAATATAAAGTACTTAGGCGCTAGATTGAAAGAATAGGTTGGCCAAGTGTGGAGACCCTAATGACATATTATGCGTGTTTAAGGTTGGGTTTAGATTTAGCAGTAGCGTAGTTCTGTTTTCAACTGCTACCGGTACCACACACAATTTAGGCGATAAACTTTAAAAATATAAATAAATCTTCAGCTAAAATTTAGAAATAGAATGATCTTTTTTATGATGCCATTGCGCGATGTTTTAAAAAAGCAAAATGAATGCGCTGACAGATGTATTGAAAAGGTTCAAACTTTTGTGGAGGAAGTTTATTGGAGTGTTCAGAGATTTAAATTTTCAAAAATTTAAAACTCGAACTCAAATCTAAATTTTACTTATCGGTTTCCTTTTTTTTTTTACTTTTAAAAAATTAAAATTTAAACGTGTTCTACGATATAGAACAAGAAAATGATTAATCTAAACCTAGATATATTAGAATCTATATGCTAGCGTTTGTTTACAGTTTTAGAAGGTTTGAATTAAGAACAATATTGACATTAGCGCCGCCACGTCAAGAAAGCTGGAACAGTCACTAAGTAACACCCTGTTCGCCAGTACCCACGAATTTCTTCACCCCCCCCCCCCCCCCCACCCCGCCGCCGCGAAAACTGAGTTTTAAAAATTTAATAAAAAACGTTTTAATTACAAGCTTTTATATAATAATACACTAAAAAGTAGAAAATAAATTACGCACTACTATTTAAATAACTATAACGAATTTCCTCACCCCACCCCCCCCCCTCCGATAAAAATTGAGGTTTAAAAAAGTGGGTTGTTAACTACACTGTTAAAAACCAACAAAAAGAAATCGACCAAGAAGACATACTACAAAGAAGAATAATTTTCGTGGTATGTTCGGAGAGCAAAGTTCCCCTTTCGAAACTAAAGTTCCTGAGGGCAAGATGAAGTAGAGTTCATCTTTTTTTTTTTTTTTAACCGGTTGGGTGGACGTAGGGACACTGGAGTCTGTGACTCGAACTCATGACTTTCGTCTCCACAGTCGAGCGTTCTACCACTCGACCATGCCGTCCCACGACAGGATAGAAACTTTAAGAAACAGCTATCCTCTGTAGTTGTATTTCATAAAAAATCAGCGGACAGCAGAGTTTCTTCCAGGCATCTCTTCGGCCCCCCCCCCCCCCCGAAGAAAGTCTACCCCCCCCCCCCCCGAAAGAAATGAAATTTATATAGAAAATATATACTTTTAACAGTGTCCCCCCCCCCCCCGAAGAAAGTCTACCGCCCACCCCCCCGAAAATTTCAAGTGCCCCCCCCCCCCCCGGGAGAAAAAAGTCTTGAAGAAACACTGGCGGAGAGTTCTGCAGTTTTTTCAACCTGTGAATTCATGTCGTCAATACACACACACACATACATACATACACAGAGACACACACAAATACACAGACACACACTCATACACACAGAAATAATTGCAAATTATGTTTGAGTAAATTATTATTTTTTCAGTTATCAAAATGTAGAAATAATGATTACATAAAAAGTTGTGTATAAAAATTTCTATTGTATGTTTTAAAAAAATAAAAATTCGATTTCTAAAGAATTTTCGCTTTTCATTTTGTCATTTTATTACCTTTAAATATTACTTTGAAATAATTAAAATAAAGCAATAGAATACGTTTTCTTAATTTAGTCATTTTATTATCGTTACATGTAACTTGAAAAATAACATTTTCAGAATACTTTTTTCCAATTTTGTCATTTTATCACTGTTTTTTTTTATAACTTTAAAATAAAAATATAAACTTATAAGTATACATTTTTCTTTATTTTATCTTTTTATTATCTTAAATTTTAAAGTATATAATGTAATTGTAATGATTTTTTTTTCGAATTCATCACTTTGTGAAGCATTATTTAAATTTCAAAATATTTTAAGTTTCTAATTGTAAAATAAGTGATGCGGATCTACCACAAAATGGTTTGAAAAGAAGGAAGCATTTTAGTCAACAGATACAATTTTCATACGTCAACTACGGTGTGCTATAAAAAGAAATAACAACAACAACAAAAAAAAATAACTAAAAAAAAACTTAACTTAAAACTATATAGTATCTTAGTTATGTACTCCGCTAGATTTTAAAAATTTGATATTAAGACCAGATTTTTCCTCCTAGTAAAGAACTTCATTTTCCAGT